GCAGAGTTGGGGTGCGCAATGACAGGAAGTGTAAGGAGGTCGAGGTGGAATGGGTCCAAATGCGCGCGCGTAATGGTGGAGCGGCGGTGGTCGGCAGCAGGGATAAGAGAGGCCTTGGGATACCTATACACATCCCAGACACCATCCAGAAGGAGTATGTCCGTAGAGCGGAACACAGTGAGCAAGTGTTGCACAAAGGTTGCCTGCAGAAGTGAGGAGGGACCAGCAGGGAAGTCAAGCCAGATGCGCAGAGTGGACTGAATGAAGCTGAAACCGTAGTAGTCATAGGAATGGAGCGATCAGGGCGTGGAACTGCAGTGGAGAGTGGAGGAAGAGAGGGAAGGAAGTGTGCGCGCTCCAGTGTGCGCACCCGACGGTCATGGTCGAAGAGCGCATGATAGGCATGATAAGTGAGACAAGCAAGCCAGTGCTGGGGTGGGAAAGGACACTGATCCCCGCCACAACGAGTAATCATGGACGCACAGTAGTTGATGGCAACAGAGTCCAGCCAACGCCACGCATAGTGCGACGCAAGCATGTTCTCTGAGCGTAGAACAGCCTGCTTCACACGCTGAACAGAGTCAGAGCGCGCAAAGCTACCACTGCCCAACCAGCACTAGGATGTTGTTCAGTAAAGCATGAGAACATGACATAGAACAACATGACTTACCTGCTTGAGCGCCAGCGCAAAGTCAATAGAACATACCAGACTAGAGTCATCACGCTCAAAAGCGTTCAACACTGTCTGGATCCCCTGACTGTAGGCAATGCCAAGGGATCCTGAGCCTGTAGCTAAGGCTGCAGCAGCATCATGGAAGATAGCCGCCATGGCGTTGAAGTTGTCTGCAGTGAAGAGTTGAAGCACCTTTGCATATGCTAAGTTCCGCTGTCAGTAAGCATTCTGCAGTCTGAATAATGAACTTACGCTTTACAGCTTGGATGTTTGATGTCTCTGGTGCATCTTCATGCTCAGAAGACGCCCTAGTTGCGTCTGCACCTGCAGAAAAGCAAGAGTGAATTAATGGGGATTTTATCGGAATTAATGCTCACCTTCTAAGTCTGGGACTTCAAGTGCAATAGGCGCTGCAGACAACAAGTCTGACATGAGCACCAGTTGCCCATCATCCATGCCATCATCTTCATTGTCGCTTCCATCAGCATAGTGTTCTGCAACCATACATTGAGTGTGTCAACAAGCAAAGACATGCTAAAACTAACGTCTAGCAGTGTGTGCACGCAAAGTCATACCTCCCCCACGCTGAACAGGCTGAGAGGAGCTACTGCCTGCAGCAGGAGATGGCCCAGCAGTAGCCTGAGCATGCACCTTCCTCCCCACACCTCGTCCTATAACAGCACCAGCTGTAGAACATAAGTTCAATCAGTACATGGAAAATCAGTGAAAAAGCGGAATAAATCGCAAAAAAGTGCCGAAAATCACAGAAAATCAGGAGAAAATGCGTACCATCCTCTTCAAGTTCCTGATCATTTCGACCTATGAGGAGTACATTAGATTTTAGTTGAACATATGAAAATTGCAGTACTCACGACGTTGTGAAGGTCTTTCACCTCCTAACTCCTCCTCCTCCTCCTCTGGCTCCTTGCGCTTCTTGTCCTTCTTGTTGTTCTTGTCCTTCACTTTCTGAGGCTTGACAGAGCACTCAGCAGCATCTGTCTGCACTCTAGACTGCTCTGTAAAGAATACATCAGTCAAACAAGAGAACAGAATACAAGACGACGTACTCTTAGCACCTGCACACGTCCAAATCAGTGCTAAGTCCAGAAGATGAACAAGAAAGCACATACGTCCAGGACGGCTGATAGGAGGTTGAACTCCCAGAGACTTGCGCAGCTCAACAATGTCACTCTGGTAGGTCACCCGAGGAGTCACCGCCGCATAGCGCAGTTGGTGCTCCTTCCACAACCGCCAGATCTTAGCGCGCTCAGCCATGACAGCCTCTGCACGCTCCTCCCCACCGGCTGGAGGCTCAAGGACAGCCTCAAGGCCAGTAGGTTGGAAGGTCATCACGTCGCCGCTCTCGTCGCGTGCAGAGAACGCTCTGAAGAACGACTCTGGGTCAATAGACGGGCTGATGCCCGTCTGACCAAAGGCAAAGCGCGCGAGGTCATAAAGCTTGCGAACAGTGAAATCACCCACAGACTGGCGATCACCAATGGCTAGACCATCCACAGCATAGCTGAGACGGTTGGAGTGGCAGCCACGGTCCTCATCAAAGCTGTAATATATCAGGTAAAAAGCGCAAAAAAAGACGAAAATAATCGGACTCACTCAGGGTTGTAAAGTTCAGGCCTACCTGGAGGCCACTATGCTCTCCGCCTGGGAGGGCTGCAAGAGCAAGCACAGACTGCCCCTTCATGATTTTCCCCATAGGGTACATCACATGGTTGAGGCGCAGAGCGTCACTCGCGATGGACTGATGCGGGTCAGAGACGTACGGGCTCATGCCACCGTGATAGTGTAGCCCAGAGAACAAGACCGTGAGCAGGTCTGCCCTCTCCGTCTCGACCTCAGCAAACTTGTCTGGAAGTTTCACGAAGGCATGTATCTCAGGAAAGAGGAAGATACCAGGGTGTATGCCTTCATGAAACTTCGAGAACACAGTCATGATAGACATCGCACCTGCAGAGTCCTGATCATCTTGGTGTAGACCACCAAAGGTGCCCAGAGACTTGTTCAGGTCACCAGCTCCTGTAGGACATAGTCAGAGACTTGAAAAAAGCGGAAAAAAGCGGAAAAAGAGTGAAAAAGCGTAAAAAAAAGCGAAAAAGGACTTGCCTTTGAGCAGCTCACTAAGTTTCTCAGGTGGAGAAATGTTCAGCTGGCTACCGCTGAAGCAGACATTGTCTGTCGTGCCCGGGCGGAAGTACCCGAGCAGCTTCGCAATGTTCTCCAGCATACCGTACAGCTCAGGCTGGATCTCACGCAAGACGTGCGTACCGAGTCCACCACCAAGCTGAAAGTACAAGTCAGTAACACACATGTATGCGCAAGATGTACTTACACGTGTGAGCTCACGGCGTATGAGAACATCCTCACCATCCTCATCAGAGAACAGTTTGCTCTCGACACAGGGCGTCAGGATACCATTCTGCCTCTGCTGCGACTGAGCAATGGCGTAGACACGACCATCTTTGCGGTGATCCTTCAAGCCCTTGTCAAGGACAAGGCGCTCGAAGGCAGTACCATTCACCCACTTGCTGTGCACATCTCGGGTGGGAGGTGCGCGCAGCAAGTTGTCAGCATCAGCCGGCCCAATGATCCGGTCACGAACAGCTAAGTAGCCATCCACATACTCCGTGGGCATGTCCCTGCATAGGACAATCAGCATGCAGAGGAAGGATGCACTGAATTCACTCACTGCTGTGGGTAGATGTACGTGCGCAGCACATCCTGGTCTGGCGTTATGTTTGACTCGCTGTCAACGTAGACAGGCCGCGCAATGACCGAGTCACGTGCTTGAAGCGCAAACCAGCCTTAAAAGGCGTCAATGGCGCTAATCATACCTAAACAAACTCACTTACCTTCTTCCAACGCCGCCTGCTCAGTTACCTTAGGTGTGACCCAGTCGCTAGGCTTCCTCATGCCGATGGCCCTCGCACCCTCCTCGCTATTGTCCACCAGCACGAGGTAGCAACGCGGATGGGTCATACCACGCACACCCGGGCACTCAGGGTGGTCATCATAGCGGAAAAGAGGGGGTGCAGACTCAGGGCGGTCAGGTAGGGGCTCCCAACGCTCTACCAGCCCCAAAATCACGCTGGCAGGTATGCCAAACAGATAGGCCTTGGAATAGCTGCCCATGGAGGTGTTCACAGGGCATCAGGGAATATTTTCGGGATTTACTCACTATTTTTCAACCCCATTCTCATCTCTGAACTCTCCAGGGAAACCCGGGGGCAGGCCAGGCTGGGACTGGCATGAAAAGGGGCAATCAGTGGGTATTCAGCCTGTTTAGGGCCCAAAACAGGTTAGAGATGCACTTACCATGGGTTTTCAGGTTGAATTTGGGATGGATGGCACAGGGGGAGGGCTACACAGCCAGAGGTTTCGGAGGAGATGAGGGAAAACAGAGAAGTCCAACATCGCAGAGGGCAGCCGCCCACTCGAGCGAGCGTAAGCGCCCGTGTGCCGCGGCGGAGTCGTCGACAGGCCGGAATTCCGGCCTGTCGACGACTCCGGTCGCTCAAAAAGGGTTCGGACCTCGAACCCGCTACCATAAACGGACGCGTGCCTGTCCGTATATGGCTAGGCGCCCGCTCGGCATGGCGGACTCGAGCTGAGTCCGAACATGTGGCTGAGGGCGCTCGAGCGATCCTCCTCGAGCACCCTCAGCCAAGTCCATCGCGTCCAACGACGCGCATCGAACGGCCCGCAGAGAGGCGGAAGGGAGTGGGAGGGGCTAAAGGAAATAAAGAGGTGAGTGACACACTTACTGACCTTCGACAAATACTGACCATCCAAAGTTGTCTTCTACTCGACGCCTGCCCACCCACTCGACGTCCATTGACCGGTCCCGCGCCCGCTACCAATGCGTCATGCACGGTACAGGTTGCGCGAGGCTCTCCCATGCTGGGAGAGGCCTACGCGACCGGTTCCGTGCGCAGGCGCGTCGGTCCGAGCTCGCTCGGTCGACTTCCGTCCACCGAGCCACACACACACCCCAGGACCCCTTCCCGAGCCGCCAGGCCGCGCGTCATGCACGGTTCCGGTCGCGGCATGCTCTCCCATGCTGGGAGAGTCCTACGCGACCGGATCCGTGCGCAGGCGCGTCGGTCCGAGCTCGCTGGGTGGAATTCTGTCCACCCAGCGCCCAGCCCCACCTACTCGACCTCGACACGCCCGTCCCGCGCCCGTTTGCGGTGCGGAACGGTTGCGTCGGGCTCTCCCATGCTGGGAGAGCCCAGCGCGACCGTTTCCCGTGAAACGGTCGCGGGTCTGAGCTCGCTGGGTGGACTTCTGTCCACCCAGCGCCCAGCCCCACCTACTCGACCTCGACACGCCCGTCCCGCGCCCGTTTGCGGTGCGGAACGGGTGCGTCGGACTCTCCCATGCTGGGAGAGTCCAGCACAACCGTTTCCCGTGAAACGGTCGCGGGTCCGAGCACGCTGGGTGGACTTCTGTCCACCCAGCGCCCAGTCCCACCCACTGCATCTCGCCCCGCCCGTCCCGCGCCCGTTTGCGGTGCGGAACGGTTGCGTCGGGCTCTCCCATGCTGGGAGAGCCCAGCGCGACCGTTTCCCGTGAAACGGTCGCGGGTCTGAGCTCGCTGGGTGGACTTCTGTCCACCCAGCGCCCAGCCCCACCTACTCGACCTCGCGCCGCCCGTCCCGCGCCCGTTTGCGGTGCGGAACGGTTGCGTCGGGCTCTCCCATGCTGGGAGAGCCCAGCGCGACCGTTTCCCGTGAAACGGTCGCGGGTCTGAGCTCGCTGGGTGGACTTCTGTCCACCCAGCACCCGCCCACCTACTCGACCTCAACCGCCCGTCCCGCGCCCGTTTGCGGTGCGGAACGGTGCGTCGGCTCTCCCATGCTGGGAGAGTCCAGCGCAACCGTTTCCCGTGAAACGGTCGCGGTCCGAGCTCGCTGGTGGACTTCTGTCCACCCAGCGCCCGTCCCACCCACTGCATCTCGCCCCGCCCGTCCCGCACCCGTTTGCGGTGCGGAACGGTTGCGTCGGGCTCTCCCATGCTGGGAGAGCCCAGCGCGACCGTTTCCCGTGAAACGGTCGCGGGTCTGAGCTCGCTGGGTGGACTTCTGTCCACCCAGGGCCCAGCTGACCTCCTTGACCTCAACCCGCCCGTCCCGCGCCCGTTTGTGGTGTGGAACGGTTGTGTCGGGCTCTCCCATGCTGGGAGAGCCCAGCGCGACCGTTTCCCGCGAAACAGCCACTGGTTCAGGCGTCTGGGTGGGCTTCTGTCCACCCAGGGTGCTCAGCACGGGCCAAGTCGTGCCAGGCCCCGTCCCGCGCCCGTTTGCGGTGCCGCATGGTCATGTTGTGCTCTCCCATGCTGGGAGAGCCCAGCACGACCATTTCCCGCGAAACAGCCGCGGTTTGGTTGCTCTCAGTGGACTTCTGTCCACCCAGGCCCAGCCCACCTCCTCAACCTCAACCTGCCCATCCCGCGCCCGTTTGTGGTGTGGAACGGTTGTGTAGGGCTCTCCATGCTGGGAGAGCCCAGCGCGACCGTTTCCGCCAAAGTGGTCACAGGTTCCAGTGTATGGGTGGTCATCGTCCACCCAGGCCCCAGCCCACCTCCTTACCTCGACCCGCCCGTCCGCGTGTGTTTGCGGTGCGGAACGGTTATGTCTGAATCAATCAAATTTTCATTTATCAATTTCATATTGGTCTTGTGCTGGCCTCAATGTACTAATCAAATGACTGTACTGCTAAAAGTAAGTATTGAGTAATTCATTGTAGACTTGCTTATGAATATACTGTACAGTATGCTTGACTGTATATGTCTATATTGTCTGACATCTCCGCATAGTGCAACTTATCATGTATCCTTATCAGCTAGCTACATGATGAGTCATAGTAAAGAGCACGTGTCACATGTGCCCTGATGCCAAGCCTCTTTTCTTGTCACATATAGTGGGCATTGGCGATTGCAATTCCTCATTCCCAACCCCCATGTTTGTCTTATTCCTCTCCATCTTTCTTCTGGAATGCTGGCCCTTGCAACAGTCCCAGCCTAGACAGACTATTTGCATGTTGCCATGGGCATGCAGGTAGCCTTGCTAGGCTGGTTGACACAATGTATGTATGTATTTGAGTATAATACATTGACCTACTCTGATATAGGTTGCTG